GAAAACTCCCATGTAAAATACAAAAAGTATAATACATTGGTAGTCTAGATTTCATCAGTTACTGAAAATGAAGATATTTTTTCATCTCGAGTTAGTTAGTTAGTTAGTTACTTAGTTAGTTAGTTACTTAGTTGGATCCCCTCTACTGATCAATGTATCTACTACAAAAAATATAATTTTCTTGTTCAGATAGTTCAATACCCTAAGGCAATTTGCTTCATTGTTCTAAAGTTCAACTTGCCTTAAATGTTTCAAAAGTAAAATCAATAATTGAATTATGGGTTGAGCAAAGTTGAACATCTTTTTGTTTACATCATGTTTTATCTGTACAGTGTATAAACAAAGTGACCCTCTGATTCCAGCTTCCTCCTCCACCAATGTTTGGTGCGGGGGTGGTTATAGCCTAGTGGTTAAAGCGTTCACTCGTCACGCCGAAGACCCAGGTTCAATTCCCCACATGGGTACAATGTGTGAAGCCCATTTCTAGTGTCCCCCGCCCTGATATTGCTGGAATATTGCTTAAAGTGTTATTCATATTCATCACATTCACTCACACATTCATCTTGTTTTAGGGTGGTGGGGTAGACTTGTGGTTAAAGCGTTTACTCAGATTTGATTCAACTCATGGGTACAATGTGTGAAGCCCATTTCTTGTGTCCACCGCCCTGATGTTACTGGAATATTGATAAAAGCACCGTAAAACCATACTCACTCACTCATCCTGTGCATGGTATTATTGCACACAATGAAGCACTCGACCCCCAAATACTGAACTAAGGAACAAGCTGCAAATAGACATGTGACGTGATATTTCTTATGTTTGTCAATGGATAACAAGAGAAAATATTTACATAACCAGTTTAGCATCATTCATGCATGTAACGTCAAATATGAAAAGAACCACAAACAAACATTAAAATACCAGTGTCATGACTGTAGTGAAAATGTAGTGACCATGTTATTTTTTGTAACTTAACTTAAGCCAAGTTTTTAATCTATTATGAAATGTCTACACTGGTAACAAAAATATAGATGTGGTTTAAATATCTTTGATGTATACTACTCAAAAGAAGTCAAAGAACACCAGATTCTTTCATATCACTATTCTTAATCTGTTAAATATAGAATACTGAAGAGCTCCCGTGTAATACCATTTTTATGCAACGAGTGAATAGTTGTGGTATCTGACGAGCGAAAACTATTAACGTTTTTAAAATTATACTGTTGTGTGTGAATAGGCTGACACCTACCCGATCCACAGCAAAATCCAATTGAGTTTAACACAACAATACTTCAAACATGTCAAAAGTTGAAACGTATGAATTTAATACCACACAACGGCCCACCTTTAGAATTCAGGCGTCCGTTCCACAAAATTATCGTAGCGTTAAGGTTATCGCAACTCACATACTTTAACTTAGACCAACGACTGTCGTTGTGCTACAGTACGATCGCCTTGTGGAACGGGGCCTTGCACCTCAAAGTTTACAATCCCGTCACAATACCAGATGACGTAATTTGTGGAATTTTGTTGCAAGATCCTTTGGCGAAACAATGCCATGTGAAGTCAGCCTAGCAACAAGGTTGCTGGGGTCATCGAGTGTGCATAAGCTCCTCTCAGTGATCTATCATCTCCATATTTGTTCTAAAAATGTGTTCCGAGAGTACATAAGCACGCATTTTGGTATTACACAATGTGTAATACAAAATGTTTATTAAACGGGTGATCTCTTCACGGGCAAGTAATAAACTTGTGTAGTATATTTACTTGATAAATAGTGTAAATCATATAGAAACGAACATCTTATTTATCATACACAATGTCACAGTAAGTGAGTAAGTGAGTGAGTTTGGTTTAACACTGCTTTGAACAGTATCCCCATCACATCATGTGTCAGCCTGATGTGGGTTGAAAGCCTGAAGTGATGCATTTCTCAGATGTTACCACTTTGATGAAACCTATGAACATGAGTATGGAGACCTAGAAACATAATCGGGCGAACCAGGATTTGAAACCACAATCATAGGTTCCTGACATTCCCAAGGGACATTACTCTGCAGAGCTAATTGCAGCTGCTCAGACAAGGGGGCCACCTGTGCCCTGAATGAAAATTACAACATCTGGTTTTACTGTTTCGCTACATTGTCATATAGCAGTGTAATTTATTGTTAAACAATGGTTGTAACCGTATAACCTTGTTTCTGTTGAGATTCAGTAGACGCTCATTGCATTGTATTTGGACAATGATAAGTTATCAGAAATGTAGTACTATTTAACATAAGCAGTGGTGAGGAAGTTATTATATGTAGATGCTCTAATTATCAATAAACATTCGGAATACCATGGATGGATGTCAAGCGCTACAGAAATATGGAATATTCTGTGATGTTCAAGTGACACTGTGTAGAAAGTGCTGGAAACTAAATAAGTGGAGCAGGCACATCACTGCCTCATCTCACATTGCATCAAGGCAAGTTTTTGTGTGAAGATCACTTATCACACCGGATTCCCAGCCTAGACCAATCTTGGACATCTTCCTGAGGCAAGGTAGTTAAGTGACTGTGAGAGTCCAGTATCTACCCTTGCCGAACTAGGCTTGACGTTTGGAGTTATATTTTGGCTGGGCTCACTAGTCTATGCAGAGTCCAATCAAAATCATGTAATGAACTGGACATCCTGTTCATAAACAATATGGGTTTCAGCATGCAGATTGTAGGATTTACAAAGCATGTGTATACAGTGATCGCTCGCTATTGCGCTACCAATGGGGTCCAAATAATTGGTGGGCGTTATAGACGATGAGCCGTTTAACCGAGGCCGAGGTGGGGGAGCGCGCTCGGCAATTCTCAAATCATCAATAGGCCTATGTGTTGATCTCACGTCACGTCAAAATAGTATATATTTTTATGAACCTAGATCTACCTGTAATATCATTCATTTATTAAATCTGTCATATTTCACAATGTCTGAAATACGTATTCCATTCTAATTTATCATTTTTTATCAATAAATGCATTAAAAAATTATTCACTATTTCCCGCGATGTTATTGAAAATAAAATTCTCGGACACACATTTCGACAACGGGTCCGCATCGAACATGTCAAAGAGCAAAATAAAGACTATTTTAAGCAAATCTTTAAATATATTATACAAAGTGATAAATAAAATCAACAAAAATATATCTAAAAGTAATCAAACTTACATCTAAGTTATTATTTCCATCGTTTCGTGCGATCGCGTGTAATGTAAGTCAAATGACATCTCGGCTTTCGTCGCCTTGAATTCTCGGCTCGGACACAACGTTTAATGCAAAAATATATGCATGAAAAATCTTTGTCACAGCTCGTAACCTAGCACGATACATTCGCGAAGTTCCATATTTTTAATATATATCGTGATTTCCTGCTTAAAACGTTCAGAATAACACGATTTAACAAAAAATCTTTCGCTAACTTCTGAAATTTATCAAACACGAGCTTGGTATCACAGCTTGATTGGCTGCCTGAGGTCACGAGCTCAAAATTGACCAATCACGAAACTTGTAGCAGATTTCGGCAAGAAAGCGTCATTAGAAACAAATTTTAATCCAATGAAATCGCTTGTTATAACTACGGGGAAAAAACAGGCGATGTTACGAAAGCGCGATTACGAAATGAATGACCGCCGTGTTGTGACAGCAACTACATGTGTGTGACAGTTTAGCCTTAAATTGGATTGCCCACTAATTAAGAATATAAACTTCGCTTGTGGTTCTCTTTTATTGCATGCATGCGCTTCTAAGATCAAAGGATGTATAGTGTGAAAAGTTAACTAGTTGAACAATTGTATTTCCGGGACTTGCCGCGGATGTTTTCAAACAGATTATTAGAACTCCATTCAGCGATAAACAGTTGATTATGCAATGAGAAGCGTTATGTGCAAATGAACAACGAACAACAATACAATTATGTCTGTGTAAAACTCTCAGTAATAAAAGTGTACATAAATTTTGGGAGCCATGCGTTACCGCCCGTAGTAACCGAGGTAGCGCTTTATCGAAGAGCGCAATAGCGAGCGATCACTGTACTGTCAACTGGGATTCGACAGATATTTTGCAAATCTTTTCATGATTTTAATCAAGGTGCACAAGTGATTTGATGCACCTCGTGGGGTAAGACCCATTTGTTTACAATATAGATCTTGATTATCGATCAGATCGTCTTGACTGAGCATCACCATTTTGTTTGAAGCAAATGCAAGCGATATGAGCAATGGAATCTGATTTGTCAAAAGGAGGGACATAGAATTGACATAATTAACTCATAATAGCCACTGGTGGTGCTACAATAGAGCCTAGTTCGGCAAGAGTGGAAACTGGATTTTTATAGACAGTTAACGCCCTTTCCTCGGAAAATGATCTCAGAAGTAAGGATAAGAATTTATGGATGAACAACTTCTTTATTACAATAAAGAGCAACATTTTGGTGTAAGTTCTAACACCGTTATCAAGCAAGTGATATTCAGAGTGTGGTTGACAAGTATATATACAGGTAGGAGGCAAAGTTTATACAGTAGAGTAGATATCAGATGTAGTTATACTGGAGTGGAGAAGCCTGTTATGGACACACAAGGGTAGTAACGACAATCATTGGTGAAGTCAGTGACATAAACAAAGGATGAAGCCAGTAATATAAACAACAGGATTATGGCTGATTGGGGTCTTAAATGAGTTGATGGTACACTTGGGGGGGGGGGGGGATGTAACACCCTTGTTCACGGTTGATTGATGGTTGGAGTCTTTTTATGTTTATGGCTTCTTGTAGTTTTCTGATTTTGAAGTCTTAGAGGTTGGTGGTTTGGTGGTGAGGGCTTTGACTTTATCCCACTGAATGCTGTGGCTTGGGTTGTCACGAATATGGTCTGATAGAGCTGATTTAGAGTCATCTTTTGAGACTGAGCTTTGATGTTCTTTAATTCCGGTTTTGAGGGGCCTAGGTGTTTCTCCTATGTAAGCTTGTTCACAGAATGTGGTACACTGCTCCTGATCGTTCTAGCTTGTGGCTGGATGGTGGTTTCCCTGTTGCTTTTATTGTGTTCTGAATGGTAGGACTTCTCTTGAACACTACATCAATGTTGGCCTGTTTCTTTAAGAGTCTCTGGATCTTGTGGCTCACTGTTCCAAAGTAGGGGAGGCTGATCACAAAGGGTGCAGACTGTTGACGGGGTGATTTCTGGGATTTCTTGCTGATGTTCTGTCTCGTCTGTTGTACTAGTTGCTCAGGGTAGAGGTTATACTGTGTAAATATTTGTTTGAGGTGGCTTCCTTCAGTAGTTAGATGTTGCTTCGTGGAACAGATGTTGTGAGCTCGTCTCACTAGGGTTGAAATACTTCCTTTCTTGACTTGAGGTGGATGGTTGGAGGCAGAGTGTATGTATTGGTCTGTGTGGGTAGGTTTCCGATAAACAGTGGTCTGGAGTTTGTTGTTATTGTCTTTCTGTACAAGCACATCAAGAAAGGGGAGCTGCTGATTGGTTTCTTCCTCCATGGTGAACTGCATTTGTGGGTTTTGGGAATTCAGGTGGTCCAGTAGGGTTCTGGGGTCATTGTTGGGATGTTGCATGACAAAGTTGTCATCAACTTTGCGGAACCAGCAGAGGGGAGTTTTTGGGGATGTTTCCAGCGCTTTTTCTTCAAGGTGGGTCATAGATATCTCGGTGATCAAGGGTGATAGTGGGGATCCTTTTGGGAGGCCGTGGGTTTGTTGATTTCAGAAGCTTGACCACTGATGTGGAAACATAAATATTATCATCACTGAACATATTTTCACATCACCATTGCCATCAAATGTTGTTTTTGATACTGCCACTGAATATTGTACTACCAGTCTATTGCATACTGCCAATGTAATTGCCATGCAGTAATTTGTATTGATTTGTAAACCTAGTTAATTTTGTAATATAATTGTTTCATACTAAATTCTTTTACGTGCAGATTTCTGGGTTAACATATTGTTTCAATTTGGGAATCGACACGTAACATCATTGATCAGAAGTGTTTTGCCTAGAATTATATAATTATTTGACAAGGCTGCAAAGAACAAAGACACCATCCTATGTGGTTGTCAATTGTCATTACTGCCTGATCAATTTAAATAAACAAACCCTGACCAGACATGACACACTACCACTGAGAAAGCCAAGTCCAAGTAAATTACATTGAATATTGTGATGTGTCACAGTTTCTGGTATGTGCAGTGAGAGAAGAAAGGGGAAAAAACCCTGAAACGTCATGCAAGTTGTAGATGTTTTGGGTGAACCACAGATTATACAAGTAATCAGACCATAGCATCCTGGCATGTGTAAGGGAGACAACTCTGTACGGAGATTGACGTGCCCTACACAACTGGGCCACCTGTGCCTCCAGATGGGAATGATGTTACAAAATGAGCTTGACTCCTGAGAGTTTCTAGATCCTCAGTCGTGCTCCACACTGTGAGCACATGTGATAAAAATGGCGTCTCCTTTGGCAAGTCACTTTGTTTGTTTGTTTAGGATGACTCTGTTCACCCTGCAGTGAATGGGTACCTGGTAGGAGCCATTGGTTATGTGACTGTTAACCTAGCACCTCACAGGCAGCTTGGTTTGCATACTTCCCAAGGAGCTGAGAATGATCCACAGTGACTGGGGTAATCATAATAACTTCTGAGCAGCCTTGCTAGAACTCTGTGCTATATTATTATTGTTATATTATCTTTATCAATATCAATATCAATATCAATATCAATATCAAGATCATTATCATCATCATTATTGAATGAAGGAACATTGTTTTGCACCACAGTCAGAAGTTCTTCAGCTATATCATGCCAGAATAATAATACGATCTAGGCATGGCAGTCATCAAGAGGTTGATAGTTTTTGAAACTGTGGGGGGAGGCAAGACCATGTTTGTTGCAGAATTTCTTCTATACATGGCAACACACCTCCTGCTAAAGACCATCCCGGAGGTATGCTTCTTCATAAACAGATGAAATAACTAAATGAATGATTTGCATAATTAAGGATAATTATTTTTTTATTTCCCCTTTAAAACTTCCTTGTCTAACATAAACAAACAGCAGCACTTGCTCCATTTCAGTCAGTAGAGGTGTGAGAAAATTGCGTAGCTAAAAGCTGAAAGAAAAAAAACAAAAAAAACAGTTTTACAAATAATCCTTATTGTCCTGCGTGAAGCTGACTGGTGCCACTTTCTGGTACTAAAGTTGCGTGGGGACATGATGCCTTGGCGGAAGTACCATAACGTCAGGGCGACATGCCATACTATACATGTAACTGTCATGGAGTTGCAGTTTCTCCTCCAGGTTGTAACACGGTGTTATTGTTGTAGAGGCCAACACTTACTAAAGACAAGATAATTAAACTAACCAGGAATCACAGAGTGTTTCTTAACAGTTCAGGAGTACGGGTACAAGACTACTGCCAAACCACTATCAGCTCATGTATTCCTGTCTAAATGTGCATCCTAGCCAGCAAGGAGGGGAGGGGGGAAGGGGGGAGGGGGGAAGGGGGGAGGGGGGTACAAGACTACTGCCAAACCACCATCAGCTCATGTATTCCTGTCTAAATGTGCATCCTAGCCCGCAAGGAGGGGAGGGGGGAAAGGGGGAGGGGGGGTACAAGACTACTGCCAAACCACCGTCAGCTCATGTACTCCTGTCTAAATGTGCATCCTAGCCAGCAAGGAGGGGAGGGTGGAAGGGAGGGGGGGGGGAGTACAAGACTACTGCTAAACCAGCACCAGCTCTGCTAGTCAGTTCATAACTCCTGTCTGTTTAGCCTAAACATCTTTCATCTTCACAATACAAAACAACTTTGTAATTCTTATATCGGTTTCATGACCATATTTTCTCTTCATGCCATAACTTTTTTGATATCAGAAGTGTGACTTTAAAACTGTATTCTGTACGACACGTCTAAACTGGCATCGGCTCATCAATCAGCCCCAAACCCTGGTCAGCGTCTAAGAGATTGTCTTTCAAGTAATCTAAAGAGGCCAATATTCGGTCATTTAACAACGCTATCATATTTTATGTCTAATCAGTCGAGAGAAGAGAGCGAAGACTTATGACATGAAAGCCCATCTTTCTTTGACATTGTGTACAGTGCTCAGCACCAAGACAATCATTAACAATCCTTTGATATCGGGGAATAATGTCTCTCTGATTACAAGCAGCTTAAAATATCTTCTTTGACAAAATATATGATCCATATTTGAGAAATCTTATAGAATTTGAAATAAATTCAAACTGAAGATTGCCAATGATATTGACAACCCTAGGAGGCAGCTATTTGCTCAGTTCAAGACTGAAATTAATATGCATTGAAATCAGGCGCATTCTTCCCTGATTCATAATTTATTAGCAACTAAATTCAAACAAAAGTGATAGAGATTTGTTTAATATATATTTACTGATTTATTTCAGAATTATTATAATTCTTATGAAAGTTCTACCTCTATTACATATCTGACAAAAATCCTCTATTTTGGCTTCAATCACTCTTTCTAAAATTTTCAGATTTTCAACAGACGTCCTCTTCACTGTTAATCACACAATTAGTTGCCACCAAATAGCCTTGTAACTACCCACGCCGTTTGGTCACAATGGCGGCCATATAATTTTTTTCCTGTGTGTGCTGAGTCAACACCTACTAAAGTAGTAGTGACAATCTAGTACTTGGTAGTAGGTCACATTAACCTACGATTATTCTAATAAGTTTTCTGAAGTAACACATATAAATAAATATACATTTAAAGTAATAGTGCTGCTGGAAGAGACTACACACACGAGTATAGCTGGTGTTGGGTTTGTGAGGTCGCCATGCAGTCTCCCTCCACACTGGATGTAAGAAGTGTGGTCGATTTATGATCATGGGAGATCCTCATGTAAACTGCACCATGGAGAAGAGATGTGAGCAATGCAGCCACACATCCAAAGAGATCTTCTCCAAGATGTCAGAGGCCGCAACTAAGGCCAATAGGAGAGAGGCGACGAAGAAGAAAGTTGACACGATAATTACTGAGAAATCACTGTCTACCCAAACACCTCCCTCTCCAGCAACCCCATCATCTCCTGCACTCACCATAAATCTCATTCAACAACTACTGAGAGAACAGCAGGAGATGATGAAGGGCATGCTTGACCCTAAGCTGTCGGATATGAACGCTAAGATCGCGACAGTAGCTCTGGCTAACACTACCAGATCTTGGTCCACGACCGTGGGCCATGCTACACAAGTCAACAAGCTGAGCGTGGCTCAAGGTCACAACCCATGGACCAGTCACCAAGTCAACTAGCTAGCTGGCCAGCCAACACTAGACCAGAGAACAATACCGTACGGGAGCTTACGGTATCCATGGACAGGCATCCCGTGGCAAGCAAGTCCAACAGGACCAAACCAAGCCACATGGACTCCACGGAATAACCCAGCCAGCCAGCCGTCCAGCCAGCCATGCAGCCAGCCATGAGGACAACCATGGCATGGCTACCATTACCCACAGGTTACAAGCCACACAGAGACCGATTATACCAGAATCATGGTCACTGGAGGATGACGAGCCCTACGGGGCAGAAGCTGAGGAATACGATTATCCACCCCCCACGGGATATACCCAAGGCTACTCAGAGCTGGAATCGGAGGGGTTTGAGGAGATCGATAGATTGATAACTCACCCCAACGAGGGGCAAAGATATTACAGCGAAGGCTACACTTTTGTGGAACCTATTGAAGAGCTTTATCACCTTATGCCTACACTTCGGCCAAATGTGACAGAAGATTCACCATCCCAGATGCCAGGACGTCATGCGCATCTCAGCATATTCATCAGACATTACCTTGGCCCAGTTTTGCGGGCAAGGTCGTAGACCAATTGACAGATAACATCCATAGGCTCAAGCATGATGAACGTTCACCTGTTCCACCTATGAAACGGTTATATAACATGCCCAATGCTACACTCCGGAATTCCCAAGTTTGGATGAAGATTTCTACAAATTAGTGTGCAATCCCGACATGAACATTACGTTATCAGTATCATGTTTCAAGGATTTAGCACCGGTTGCCATGGATGTCAGGGCACATATAAACTTTCAACGGGAAGCTTAGAAATGTGATAGATGAAATGAAACAAGATACAGCCAAGTGTTTCCAGACTTCAACCATAGATCCTGCAACGAGGGCTCATAATCATCACATTCTAACAAACGGCCCTGGGACCATAAGTCATCTGCGCCAAAGCAGCCTCCTAAGAAGAAGTTTGTCCCCTCCGGGAAAGATCCGTTCCAAACAAGGCGGAGGTACGACAAGCCACAATCTTCGCAGGACTCTTTTCGCTTGCCAGACTACGGGGATATAATCGCCATGGAAGATCATTCGACGTTAAAGACGCTTTCGACCTGGTTACTTCTATGGATTGCGATTTACAGCTACCATCTTTCAATAAAACACAGACTCTAGATCTGGGCTCAGTGGGAGGGCAACTTCTGTCATACACCAAAAATTGGAAGTAAGTTATCCCCGACCACTGGATTCTCGACGTATTGGCTCATGGTTACAAGCTACACTTCAGGATACATACAAGCCTGAACACACAGCCGTGGGTCAAAGATTTCACCTGACCAGAGCCAAGTTAGCAGTTGCAGAATTG